GTAGGCACGGCCAAAAATATTCCCTTCGAACTCATATAAACAGGTTCAGGGTCGTTCTACCAACCCAGACGAGACTCTGCCCTTCGTGTGTGTTCCTCTCTGCTCAGAGGCAGAGAGTTTGACCAGCCAGCTGGTTTCAGCTGGACAGTATTTATCCACCTCCCTACGAGGATTGCATATGGCACAAGGTCGTGTTTCACGAGCCCGTATGCTCGGCCAGAAAATGCCCGTAGAAACCGTAGAAACGGGATTGGGTCGGTCAACCTCCCCGGGGGAAATTCTGCCCTTCGGTTGAGCCTCGTTTGGGTTTCTCTTTGCCCTTCGGCATAGTCTCGCCCGATTTCATCTTTGCTCAGAGGCAGAGAGTTCGACCTGTCAGCCGAAAAGATTTCGGCTGAAATATTTAGCCACCCACCACGAGGGTTACATGTGGCACAAGGCCGGGTTTAACGTGGGTTTTCCGTTCCCGTAGGGTCGGCCAAAAAATATTCCCTGCGAACACGTATTAACTGGTTCAGGTTCGGTTTACCTCCCCGAACGAGACTCAGCCCTTCGACTGAGCCTCGTTCGAGTTCCTCCCTGCCCGAAGGCAGAGAGATCAAGCGCACAGCTAAAAAGATTTCGGCTGGAATGTTCAGCTACACCACTACTAGGGTTGCATATGGCACAAGGCCGGGTTTAAAATGGGTTCTCCGAGCTCGTAAGCTCGGCGAAAAATATTTCCTTTCGAACCCGTATAAACGGGTTCAGGATCAGTCAACCTGCCCGAACGAGATTCTGCCCTTCGACGCAGCTTTGCCTGAGTTCCTCTCTGCCCGAATATAGATAGTTCGACTGTGTAGCCGAAAAGATTTCGGCGGGACTCTATAGTTCGTTGACTTACAGATACATATACGCAGTTACTTCCTATAGTGTAGTCACTCATGGGGGTGACAGGTTATTCCATTACATCAGTTTGTTATTCAGGTAACGTTATCTAACACGAAAACATCTAAGAATCTCTATTTCTTGCAGTTCTACTTCTTCGTTGCTGTCGTCTTGTCCAGTTCCGATATATCAATAGATATTAATTAAAAAAAAGAACATCCAAATTTCTTTTGTGCAATGTAAATTTTCCTTTCTCTGTTGTTGTGCAAGAGTTCTCCGACATGTTGCAGCACACATTTTTTTTTTAATTTGCAAATTCAGCTGGAAGTTATATTATTCTTCGAGTCGGAAGTCTCTCGCGATGATCGTGTGTTTTTACACCGATGCGCTGAAAAACACCCACTTGAAAAGAAGAATCATCTAAATAGCTATGAATGGGTTGATCCTCTGTAATAAAAGACGTTTAAATAGCTAAGGATCGTATTTATTCTTTATAACAAGCTAGCATTAAATTATCAGCAATCGGCACATTGACAGAAGGAAAGAATAGGAAACACGATGAGGTAATTGTAAACAAACGCATGAGCACAATAGAAATAGGTTGTAAGCAGAATATCATTTTGATATTGAGCGCCGTTGTGTCGTTTACATGGAAGACACTTGCCCTTTCGTTGAAAATGCCATTATATAAAATTAATGAAACATTTATATGAAAGAAGAGGGAATTACAAGCTTTTCACGCTGGCATATATCTTTGCACAGGCGCGGGAAAACATAATGGTATGAGTAAGGAAATCCGGGCCAATATATGTAAATAATTAAAATGCATCTATCTATCTATCTATCTATCTATTCTATTCATAGCTATCTATATATGTATATATGTCAATGAATATATATATATATATATATATATATATATATATATATATATATATATATATTGTTTGTGTGTGTGTGTGTGTGTTATAAAGAGAAAGTAAAGATCAATAAATCCGTAGCCTAACAGAGTTATAAGTTGAATTATAAACTGCGATTTTCTCAGTTGACTAATTTCATTAGGAGAGAAAAGTTGAATTAAGTGAATTGATATTTGAGAAACGTTCAATTATGTGCATTGACAAGTGATTAATTGGCCATAAATAATGGCCATAAATATTTGTTTTCTCAAATTAAAGTTTATAGCTGAACAATGGAATTATTTTGATAGGTACGCATATTCGACCCTGAATATTGCATGAAGAAACTGTCACCATATATATATATATATATATATATATATATATATATATATATATATATATATATATTTAACGATATTTTTGTAGGTACAAAATTTAATGATCGAAATAAAAAGTGTAAAATTTAATATTACAGACATATTAAAAAAAAAAAAAAAAAAAAAACAAGGTGGAAGCAACCGATTTCGCTCCCGCTCATCAATGTACAATAGAGGAATTCCTCTATTGTACATTTTTCTGCATTAATTTTTTCTGCATTTAATTTTCCCGTTGAAGCCTGAAGAGCGGAGCGAAACCAGTTGCTTCCACCTTGTGTTTTTTTTTTTTTTGGTAATATTAAATTTTACACTTTTATTTCGATATATATATATATATATATTTGGTTGGATAGATGTGAGTTTGTGACCCTGGGTTTCACGCTTTAGCGATCGTCAGACAAACTGATTAATGTTTTAAAAAATTTGGGTTTATGTAGATTGCGTGTATTGGTGTTATTGTGGAAGTGGTGGGGGAAATTTCGTCGTTTTGTCATTCATCGTACTAACGCAAACATCGATGTATGCAGACACATATACATTGAGCGCTTTCTAATAAGTACCGCGCATATAATATATAAATAATTATACATATATATATTTATTTATATTTATATACACTTTTCACATATATATATATATATATATATATATATATATATATATATATATATATATATATATGGTCAGCGAACCTAACAGTGACCTCATCCCAAAATCCTGACTCTTGTTCCATATGCAGCCCTATTTGCGAATCACCAGCGTGTGTTAAGATTATCGCACGAATTTCATAACTGAATCTTATTGGTGGTCACATGTTTATACGTCAGAAACCGACAGGAGAGTCCATTATATATATATATATATATATATATATATATATATATATATATCATATATATATCGCATATATATATCGCATATATATATATATATATATCTATATATATATATATATATATATATATATATATATATATATATATATATATATATATATATATCGAAAGATAGATATGAGCATACCAAACAGAAGTAAAGAAAATTTCAGCTTACGAAGGCATATATGATACATGTGACTGTATAGTTAATATAATAAATAATGACTAAAGATTTAACAAACGACACTATAAATAGCTAGAGATATCAGTATTTTGATTGACAATTATTCCTACTCAGTACCCTCCAGTATAATTTGAAATATAACCTTTAAACTGGGTGAGTATTACTATAACGAAGTAAATGAACATTAAAATAGTTGTTTAAAAACATATATGCAAAAAAAATCTCAATAGCAACTCAGGAAAATCAAACATGTAATGCAATTTAATATCCTAAAGTAATAAAACGCTGACAGAAACACTAATGCAGATTCGACCGCCGATGTCTCATCTCTGTGTTAACCACCTGATGAGATCTTGGCGGTGAAACTCGCGGTTGTGCTCCATACAGCGTTTTATTATTTTTTATATATATATATATATATATATATATATATATATATATATATATATATATATATATATATGTGTGTGTTTGTGTGTAACTCCACCAACAGATTGAATGATTCGCTGTATCATAACTCAACAGTGTGTCTAAACATCCGATCGCCTCAAGCCGGGATCGAATCCACTAAGCTACTTGCGCCCAGTAGACAGGAATGGTGTCTTTTTGCGTAATTGTTTTTAAATAAACACGCTGAGAGTATTTAATCAGTTAGAAGAATTTTGCATCATATATATATATATATATATATATATATATATATATATATATATATATATATATATATTATGTTCGTGTATGGTAAAGAGATAGAGGGAAATAGAAAAATCGATTTTGAACATGCAAAATGTCTTAGACTTTGAATGAAAAGGAAAAGTGAAAAAAAGTAAAATGAATAAGTCAGAGATAAACAATGAATTACCAAATGATGACGATCGTGAAATAGTGTAGTAATTAGATGGAGGTGATTTGTTAGACATATTTGTATGTGCGTGTTTATATATATATATATATATATATATATATATATATATATATATATATATATATATATACTCTGCTGAAAAAAATCCTTTACCGTTCTGTGGATCAGTTGTAATAATTAATACTTTGAGGATCCACATGGATTATATAATAACGGATCGATTACCTGTACTATATATATATATATATATATATATATATATATATATATATATATATATACACAAACTGTCGTTCTAAATTTGTTGTTGAAAGACTTAGATAAGCGTTAGATTCAAAGTGAAAAAGAAGTTTTCTTGCCTAAATAACCTGAGGAATGTGTGAAAATATCTTGACTTTATGTAGCCGTTTATTTGCAACCCACTTGGATATTTCCACAGACACACACACACACACATATATATATATTTCGAACTATGGTTTTTTGTGTATAAAATTCTGAGTAAATGTTTTCTAAAAAAAATTTTACTTCAAATGTTATTGTTAGTGGATACCCGTCTTTGAAATCGAGTCCAATTTTTTATATTTTATTGTTTTTAGTACGGCTACCGGCTTGTACATATTTTTGTATTAGTATTTTTCGAGTGGAAAACCTTTTAGACTTAATGCACATAGTTCAAATTAAAATAAATAAATAAATAAACAAGTAAACGGGACGTCTATTTCAGTTCTATAATGATGCGTTAGCACTTTGGCATTTGAGATATTAACCAATCGAAATTAAATACATACTATTATCAATAAACGTGACACTAGGCCAGAAACCTTAACAACCAGAATTTTACAACGATATTTTATGGACAATATTTCATCTTATATAAAGTCTTTCGAAATACATAATTCCTTACTATTACTCACACACACTTACATGTTTTATGATAGATAGATAGATAGATAGATAGATAGATAGATAGATAGATAGATAGATAGATAGATAGATAGATATTATGATTTAAAATACTGGGCTCTCAGACCAAAGACGTTTGATAGAATTTCACAAATCTCTCAAACATTAAGAGAGTTTATGGTTAGATAGAGATTGATTAACAAAATAGATTAATAGAGATAAAAAAAGTAAGAGCAATTCATATAGGTCCAAACATATATACGTGAAATAATATTACAATTAACGTAGACAGGCCTGTATCAGAGGTAGTAGTTATAAGTAAATTTGGGTAAATATAGATAAGTTTTGACAGTTCTTACAACACTTCCCAATTACTGTCAAACGTTTTGGCAAAGCTAATGGCACCAGTAATATTAAACTTAGACTGTTCAATTTAACAATGCTTTTAGCCATCTACAATATATATACTTATTTTCTTTTATACTTTATTAACCTTTGTCCTGAACTGTGAACATCCTGCCTAAAACAATTTTAAATACTGAAAGCTTTTTTTTTGCACTCAAATTCCAGTTAAATATACGTATGCAATTTATAATAAAAATTCCGGAGTGCGTAACATTATGTCGTATATTTTTTCATTCCAGCGTATCTGAGAGCGTCCTTAATAACATAAATTACAAGACTACAATATTACACTTTTTTTTTTTTTGCTTTTTGTATTTTCATTGTAGCATTATTGTCAGGTATTTTTTTTTATTGTTAATGGACGAATTTTCCATGGCTTCCCATATAAAAATCTACATTTAGGATTAAACTTCAGGCGTTAACAATTATATGGATATCATGTACACTGAAATATTGGCATAAAGACACTTCCATTTCTGTTTATTAGCTGAGAGTCGTCTTACAACGAAAATAAAGTTCCATAACATTAAAAGAATTTAGTAAAAATATAGATCTCATCTCTTTGTCTGAATACCGGAGGTTACGCGATTCTGTATATATTCAACGGTGTGTTGAATTCGTTACTTAGATACAGGTATATTCTCCGGCTGTCTATTTTACAGTTGTTGGTTCGTATGTCGGTGATTTATAGAGATGCTCAACATGTCCCATAAAATCTCAATAGTGTATTAATCTGAAGTATTTTTTAGACTTTGCAGTACCGGGAATTAAAGCCTTTGAACCTGGAACCAGTTTCTTTACATTACGAGAATTGTCTTATCGTGCTGAAAATAATATCAGTCACCAGCAGAAGACAAACGTAACCTTAAATGTTGTGTAAACACCTAGCAAAACATATGTGTATGTTTTATGAGGGGCTTCGATTATGTTGTTATGTCTGATAGAATATCAACTTTTTTTTAGGTGATTTAATGCCTAATTCTCGTGTTTTGATAAATAATAGAAAGTTAGAACTCGGTTCCGTTTACATGATAGTTACATATGTAGAGAGAGATTTAGTTTGCAAAGGATTCAGATAATATAAAAATAGATTTGATTTGCACGACATTCAAAATCTTACACGTAAGTTTAATTTACATATATATTACAAAGATGGGTATGTGTTTGGTTTACAAGTGAATCAAAAAGGTAGACATGTGATTCGTTTTCACGAGAGTCAAAAGATTTATTTATTTTGGGGATTCATCTTTCTGCATGGGCATGAATCCGTTGTATTTTTGAGCCCAACCGACTTGTCGATTTATTATTATTGTTATCTCATGAAAACGACAACAAAAAGAAATAAAATTAAACCAGCTACCCACCCACCTAAAAAAAACAACCTACCAACCTCAATTTTTCTTTCCCCAATATTCTCGGTATCCGTTTTAACTTCTGTAGGCTAGTTATGCTTCCTCCTGGAACAGTCACCAGATATATTTGCCTTTTGTGAAACCCATTTGAATTCTTCTATTGTGACCAATGAATTATTGGTTCCACGGTATCGTCTTCTTTGTCGAAAATATTCCAGCATTCACATTCACTTGGTGTTTATATTCTGGATTATCTACCGATGGTCATAAAATTGTCTCTCCAGGCCGCTGACTACTCACTCATCTGCTTAAGTTTTTCGCTACTAAACTCTGTCAACTATGTCCTTTTCCTTTAACGCTCACCTCTTTCCATTCTCAAGACTTTAGTATATTAGACGCAAGAGCCGACAGTATAGAAAATCACTTCATCTCCTACGAACATCTTTGTCTTCGATGACATTAATACTCATCACAACACATGTATGAATCTTTCTAAAGATACTAATGTTGCCGATATACTGACATTAGATTTTTCCATTGCCCAATCCCTCACTCAAATTGTGGACGTCCGTACTCTTTTCCCTAGCCTAAGCGAGCCTACAGGCTTCTCTACCGGATCTATTTCTTGCCTCCTCTCCTCGCTCTTGCCGATCTTCACAATACTGCTTTCTAGGTAACTCGGACGACTCTGTAGTAGATATTGATATCTCCTTCCAAGTATCCATTAAAGTGAAACCCTCTATCATAAGACCTCTTTCCGTTACCAGCATACTGACTGGAACTCATTCCGGGGTTTTCTTCGTGACGCTCCTTGGACTAACATTTTCAAATTCCAGCTTGAAAATTGCGCAACTGATGTTTCTTCTAGGTTCAGGCCAGCATGCACGCTTTCAGCCAAAATCTCGAAAATACCAAGTGAAACCCTAATCCTCTCCATTGTTCACACCAGCATGATCGGCCGCTATAGCACACAAGAACCACTATTTTCAGCTATACCAGCATGAAAGCTCTAATCATAAGTGTCTTTGGTACATAAGAAATGGCAGAATGCAAGAAGGAGCTAAGTCCTTGTTTGCTGAAAGAATTAGGTACTGCATAGACTCTAAAAACTTTGGCCCTCGTGATGACTGGCGGCTTTGTAATAGGGTACTAAATATGTGCAAGGTCGCTATTCATCTCTATTCAACCGATTTCAGGTATAATTATCCTCTGCTAATAAGCTGAATGCTTTGCCCGTAAATACTTCTCAAGACCGTAATCAATGCTGAATTGGCTGATCATCTCTCATCGCAGGGCCTTTTTTCTCAAACAAGTAATATGGCTTTCCTTTTTCCAGTACAACTGCTTATGTACTGAAAACAATTGAGGAAATAATTCATTTAAAGACTGTGAAGCATTGGGCATCTCGACTGCTGACATTCAGGACTTTTCTACAAGCTGAAAATTTACGGTATCTCCGGACACATTTTTGATCTGATTCAGTCGTTCCTATCAAAACTTAAAATGAAAGTTGTCCTGAATGGCCACTTATTTCCACTTTTTGTACTATCACGTGTGTCCCCAAGTGCTGCATCCTTAATCCTATGCAGTTTTTAATCTTCATTATTGAAATTCCTGATGAAATCAGCTCTCAGCTTGGCATCTACGCTGACGACACTACCATTTACTCCTGCCTCGAGAGAGATGCTGGTCAATCCGACAAGGTCAAATTGGCAGCTGGTTTCCAAAACGACAACAAGACCGTTGTTAACTGGGGCAAAACATGGCATGTCAGTTTTAACGCCTCTAAAACTAAACTTCTCTTCATTTGTCATCTGCGTTCCATCAGCATGGCCGATGTTATCTTCCAGCAAAGTGATCCATTGCGCCTTCTTGGACTAACATTCACAGATGACATGAAGTGGAAAGACTATATTGAATCCATTGCTAGGTCAGCTGCTAAGAAAAGCAGCTTACTGCAACGGGTGTGACAATCTTTCTCTCAGGAATGCATGTTGCATATCTATACGTCTACCATTCGCCCATGCTTATAATATTGCTGCCATATATGGTGCAGTACCCGTGGATCTACTTAATAAGATCCAAAGAAAAAGCAGCAATATTACTGGTACTGATCTGGTGGCTCGGCTTCAGTCACGTGGCCACTGACGTAAGGTTGCCTCCCTATGCCTTTTTTTTTATAAATACTAATAGTAATTGATCGGATAAGCTCTTCGCTATGGTATATGAAGACTGTAGGGATTTAAGCGCAATACTACACTGGCGGCAAGTTCACATCAATTTAAAATTGAGCTGGCTAGATATAGTTGTAACTTCTTTGCTACCAGTTTCTTTGCTTCGCGCCTCTCGTCTGTGGAACTATCTTCCGGTCCTATGCTTTTTCAGTCAACATTAAATTGCAAGAGTCTAAATGCAATTTCAATCGTTATCTACAGTCCTCCTGATTGCTCTTTTCTCTTTCTACTCATTACTAAAGTCTCTGTTCCTATTTCCTACAAACACTGTAACCCCTTACTTGTTAGTGGCTGTACTATCTTGCTTCGGGTGATACCGCTAATATATATATATATATATATATATATATATATATATATATATATATATATATATATATATATTAGTTCAAGAAAGATATTTGGGTCACTAATATACAAAAAGAGAATGTCCCATATCGAGAATATTTAACATCGAAAAACATATGAAGAAAAATATTTTTAATAAGATGTGGAAATCTCCACCCTTTGCCTGACGACGGTCGCGAGACCAGAAACGGGTGTAGCAAAATTATGGAAAATAAAGTATTATATTTAAAAATAAAATGCACATTACAACCAAAAATGATAGCGGTTTCTCTTATTTTTAATATACACACTTTCCTCTCGTTGGAACTACTATGACCTCTTCATTTTATATATATATATATATATATATATATATATATATATATATGTGTGTGTGTGTGTGTGTGTGTGTGAGTGAGTGTGTGTGTGTGCGTGCGTGCGTGCGTGCGTGTGTGTGCGTTTATACAGGATGAGTGAAAAGTATCTCCCCCTTTTATGTATGATGAACTCTTCCGTCTTGCTATAATTTTTCCGTCACCCTGTATATATGTAATAGATAGATAGATAGATAGATAGATAGATAGATAGATAGATAGATAGAAACAATGATTCTGTGGGCCATTACGGTAGTCTGAATGACTTTTGCCCGCTCAACATCCATTCAATCCACTCCAATGCTATCTTGAAAGGTCTTGTTGAAACCCACACCCAGTTGTGTGTTTGTTCCATATCATCGAATAAATGAGACGAAGTATTGTCATTGAACTACCACAGCATCTAATGTTCACATTTTATACCTGGAGTATAAGACGTCTCCCTATTTGGGCGGGGTGTGTGTTATACTTAAAAGCTCACTTTGTACGCCGACATATACGGCATATTTTAATGTCATGTCTATTTATGACATAGGTGATAATATATGGCCACAGATTCCCTTTTCTTTGTCTGAAATTCGGTAGGACTTCGTAGTGGAGAGAAAGGAATTATTTTTCATTGACTTCTCCACCGTTTTCTCAACAATAGTTGTCTTTCTCATTGATTTGTTAGAGCGCAAAGTAAGAAAGTGCACTCAACTGTGATATTTAACACGTAAATGTGTCAGCAATGTATATATAAGTAATGGATACATGCATTTACCTTAGGTGTGAAGTTGAATGCAACTGGCCGATAATTTAATCTTGGCATGGGGAATTTTATTTTCTGCGTTGATAAAAATTACTCTATCCATGTAACTGTTTTCTTTTGTTTTAAATATTAGTGCTATACTCAGTAATTGCAATAAATGTTTTTCTTTTTAACGTATAGAATCTAATAAAATATTTTTAAGGACATTCAGACAAATACGGTACATACAAGTTCTTATCTGTCTATTTTCTTGTAACTGATATAGTTTCTCGTCTGCTCTCGTGCCCGAATACGTCTTCGGGCTCATGTAAAGCGACTCGGATTGAGGAATTTTAGAGCCGAGTTCGAATTCCAGTCAAAACCATTATATTCACTTACGTGCTAATAACTTTGTGAAAGGTATGAATCCTCTTCTTCTCCCCCCCCAGCTATGGGTAAATAGCAGGACAGACCTGGTTCTATAACTTTGGAGGGCAACTGGTCTACTGCAGAAAGAAATGGCAAAGTAATGCGGGGGAAAAATCCGCCTCGTTAGTCATGTATCGCCTAAGCGTGTATCACGCACAACACATAACTGATTGATTTTCATAGCAAGACAGCTTGTCTACATTCAAAAGTCGAGACACTCTAATATCTATCTATCTATCTATCTATCTATCTATCTATCGATCGATCGATCAAATGCAATATATTTATATACTAAAATATCTTTATTCACATGTACATATATGTTCATCATTTTATGCAGATTTTATTACCATAATCGAGGTTGTCGAGGCACACCTATTTAAAAATACAAGTGTTCACCCCCATACATGGATACAGGAGTTCATAAACAGACGATAGTATTTGCACAGAATTATATAAACTAATCTGTACAAGCATTAGATATTTTCTCCCACTATCACTTCCTACTCTGTGTCTGTGTATGTTTACATATCTCTCTCTCTCTCTCTCTCTACATACATACATACACACACACACACACACACACACACACAAATATATGCAAACATGCACACACAGACACACATATATATTCATATATGTGTGTACGTGTGTATGTATTTGTATGTGCGTGTGTTCGTGTGAGTGCAATATTTGTGGGAAATTACAATAACCAGCCAATAAGCATCCTCTTAAAATTGCTAACCTGTTATAATATATATATATATATATATATATATATATATATATATATATATATATATATATATATATATATATATATATATGAATAAAAAAATATTAAAAAATTAAAAATCTTCAGACACATTTGGTTGTAAATTAATATTCTTTCTTTTTTTTATCATTATTATTTCATTTAGATTCCTCGACTAGTTTCGGCCAAAATGGCCATCGTCAGGAAAAGAAATATTTCTGCTTTCTGGTAGCAGTAAACTACAGAAATGAATGTCTTGATGGAGAAAATGAACTTTTGTTTGTAGTTTTCATTTGTTTTTTTATTATTATTATTATTATTATTTTATCTTTTTAACATGAATCTTTTAACATTCCTTGTGCTGGTCAAACAGTCACTTTTAAGTTGTTATTGAGATGGATCTATGCTTCTCTGAATATATATATATATATATATATATATATATATATATATATATATATATATATATATATATACACACACACACACAAACACACACGATGGGTAAATTGTCAGCGTTTTATATTTTTCATTTCGCGCATGCGCTTTGTTTGTTTTTGATTTTGTCGACTGCCCGGTATAATAGGGTCACTTTGGCACTGTCTGTAAGAAAAGAGCATAATGACGTAATTCACTCCGACAGAAATTTAAAAAGAAAGTGTTGTACCGCTTGGTATTCGCGCCAAAAGCTCCAATTTCAGACAGTTTGGGTGAAAGTGCAGAGAATTCGGAAACAGTTTGACCAATATAATGGTGCTTACGAATTATTAACTACAGCTCGGGAAACTCGAACCGGTCGTTTTAATAAGAAAAGAACTTCGTCAGGGCCTCAGACTCAATAAGTGCCAGGAGGAGGTAGTGCTGCCCTAGATCAAGAATTTTAGCCGCTGGAATACTCTCTATGTCTGGCGGAAAACAGAGAAATCTCGGAGTTAATAACTGTCTCGAAACTAACGGATAAACCCTGTATTATTCTTCCGAATATCATGACAAGTCAGAGAAAATAAAGAAATGGAAGGTCTAGTGAAACATATATATTTGCCTGAGGATCGTATAAGCGTGAGACATAATGTTACAAACTCAGATCGATACAATTATGTATACTAGCTCTATCACTGATATTGAGAAAATATGTCCTCCGACAGGAATCGAACCTGTATACTACATATAACCGTTATATAGCCTGCCTTGCAATACCATGCAGCTACAGAGTAAGCGTTTGTCTAGAAAGTTCGAATTATTGCTTTTAAACTAGGAATTTCTCGTGATTTCTCTCGAACGCTCATATCTGCTCGAAGCGTATATTAACGCAAATGACGTCATATATTATGAAATAGACACGTATTTCCTTGGCATTCAGGCCTGTAAATGTTGTTAATACTGTTTATTAACTTTAATAACTCAATTACAAGAAGAAAATTCATATATTATAATATCACAGGCAATCGCAAGTAAATAAGTTGTCCTGTAATCGTTCATTTTATTAATAATGGCTTCTCTCTCTCTCTCTCTCTCTCTCTATATATATATATATATATATATATATATATATATATATGTGTGTGTGTGTGTGTGTGTGTGTCTGTCTGTCTGTCTCTGTGTGTGTGTGTATGTGTGACAGAATAAGTGAAATAAATATTCATAGTATATCACATTTCTTTGCCATCGCACCACTAGAAGATTATTTTTACTGCGTCTTTGGGGAAAATATATTCCTTCTTTTCACTGCAAAGATAGCAAACACTTTTTGTGTTGATCTAAATCTACATAAATAGGTTAAAGAATCCTAAATGTTAAGAAAGAAATCTTTAAATGTTTACTCAACAAGTAAAACTTCCACCACTTGATGTAAATAAATATTCTACTATATTTCAACTACTGCGTTTATACAAAAACAAAGTTTGTCTAAATATTATTCATCATCAAGGAGACGAACTTTCAAATGATTTTCTAACATTAGAATCGAACTTGCTCGTTTACTTGAAGAAATTATGGCTGTAATATATCTGACGTATTCTGATATGGACATCTTAATTGACTGGTTTAAATATCTCGGCAAAGTTTTCACATAAATTTTTCAGCCATGATTCCAGAAATTTGTGACCTTCAGTCAAGAGAAAACGTACTGGATTTAATGCGCCGTGTCCCTACAGGACATAGGAAATCGTGACTCTCCTTAACTTCCTTCACTTCCTATCCCTTCTAGCTCTATAAAATAAACGTTGTCGTTCTGTCGTTTCTCATTGGTCCTATTGCGACATCCATTTGGACACCTCGAAGCGGTGTAATGATTAGCAAGTTTGTCTCGCTAGAACAATTACGACTGAGTAGTGAGTTCGATCCTCACTGGCTGCCCCCTTTCGGCTTTGTGCTACATCTAATCTACGCTTGGAACATCACTATTCCGCCATCCATTTACTCATGTATGTTATGCGTTGTTTTCTTCTGTCCCTCTTGACGCCCATATATGGTTAAATGAATTAACCATTACAAATGTCATCTCCCTTCATTATGAAGGCGATCATGGGTCCCCTTGTGGAATAACACATAATTCCACTTACATTTTACGCGCGCGCGAGTTTTCCTCCCTTCCTTCCACACTTGTGCGTGTGTGCGCGCGCGCCTGCGGATTGCACCCCTTCCTCTCTCGTTAAGCCAGAAATAGCAGTAAACAGCCTTTTGGCTGGCGGCGAGGAAGGTTGCTGACTAGCTGCTCCTGATAACGTCTAAAATCAGAATTTTAATTTTTCCCGCGCGTTTTCCTGACGTCACAGACGTCAGTGTTTCCATCTCAGTTGCATCCCGATTTTCAAGCTAGAAGGACAAAACATTTATTCCGTGCCCCTAACCCATACGCGGGCCGGAATATCTTATTCCTAACTAACCAAAATTTCAACATGTCGATATTACACTTTTCCAAGACTCACTCTCGTCTTGATGCAACCCGCATGTTGAACCTTCTCCGTTTTCAACTAGAAAATGTCGAGTTCCTACGACACCGTCGTCAATATATATTTTTCCAAGACCAACTTCTTGTCTTGATGCGAACAACTTTCCTCTATTCACTACCAGAGTTCTACAACACGGTCGCTCTCACACCATTCCAAGACTCAACCTCGTCTTGATGCAAACAACTCTGAATTCTCCTCAATGAAAGTTGATAATCTGTTCATACACCTTTGAACCTTCTAACTACTTTGAACAAGTACTTTAAAAATATTACATACACTCAAACTATTAAATTTCACAGTGAGTACTTTTCCTATTTGTGTACACATACACCGGGTCCGCAACACCCTATATATTCAGATTCTAACAAATATTTCGGTGTTTGG